AGAGGATTAGCCAATTGAGCTATTATGCCAGCCCCACACTTTAATCTTCTTTTCCAAACAGAGAATGAACCTTTAACCAAAGACTTTACCAGGCAGAAATGGTTCCTATTTGCTGATAGTCATTTCTTCTTTAAATGAAAATTAAAGTACATAAAAGAGTTAAATTAAAATGAGAATTGAGTACTAAGACAGCTAACACTTGAGACAAAATTTGTGAAGTGTAGCACCCAGGACACGAACCAGCACCCATATGCGGTCAGAAGATTAACCTATTTCTTCTTACAGTAATGAACGATGGATCTAGTGTCTCCACATCTTTATCAATGCCATTGTTTTTAGCCAGCCCAGCAAGGGTTGACTCCACCATTTGAAGAAAATTATGGTTAATGTCAAAATAACTTGAATCCTTAGAAGTTCATGGAAGTGCCTTGTAATGCTTTCATTTTCATGTTGAGGGACCACTTTTGGCTTATGTAAGGGCAAAGCATTAAGAAGTCAATGCTGTGCCATCAAAAATAACAAGCAATATTTACCTATGACTCATAAGGACCTTTCCACATTATCCACGTGTGCATAAATGGATGGCTCCTAAAAATATCTGGGTCCAGCTTGCAAATGCCACCATGTATATATTTACCCAAGGCTGTCTCTGGCTGCTGAAGTCTGCACACAAGCCAGGTCAGGGATTTAGCACATTCCAAGAGCAATCTTCAACCAATGATTGTTGGGAGGCAGTCAATAAATACTCCAAATGGAATAAAATGTTTCAACACTCTTAGTTTTAAAAATGTACTTCATGAATCATGAAACTCACATTAAATGTATATTTCACATAAAGACACATGTCAAATTCACGTGAAATATACACTATTTTTTTTTATATTTTGTAGTTTTTTTGTATATTCACACAATTGTACAAGCATCATTGCTATCTCATTCTGAAACACTTTCATCACTCAGAATAAAAGCCCTGTACCCACTAGCTGTCATCTGTCCCCAATGACTACTAATCTACCTTCTCTTTTTATAATTTGACTATTCTGAAATTCAATATAAATGGAATAATATAACATATGATTTTTGTGATTGCTTTCATCCACTTAACACGGTGTTGGCAGTATCCATCATATGATAGTAAAAACATTCAGCATTCATTTCTTTTATTACTAAACAGTATTTCATTGCATGGCTATACCTTACTTTTGTTATTCACTCGTCAGTTTGTGGACACTTGGGTTGTTTCTCTCAATGCTGCTGTGAATGATCATGTACAAGTTTTAGTATGGACATAGCTGAGTCCTACAATTATTCTGTATTTAACTTTTTGAAGACTGGAAAGTAATTTTCCATGGCAGCCACCCTAGTTTTCAATGTTACTAGCAATGGATGAGCATTCCAGTTTCTCCATATTCTACCACACATTCTCATCACATTTACTACTGTAGACATCCTACTGAGTGTGAAGCGATGCCTGTGTGTAGTTTCGATTCTCTTGGCTTAATACGGGGTGATGTTCACATATTTTCTTATATTTACTGCCCAAGTGTATATCTTTTTAGGAGAGATATTTGTTCATGTCATTGTCCATTTTCAATTTAGATTATTCATCTATTCATTGTTGAGTTTTACCTGGGAGGGTAAGTTTTCAAAAGATCCATTTATTTATTTGAAAATTAGAGAGATAGAGATTTATCTTCCATCCACACTTTTACTTCCCAGGTAGCACCAAAGACAGGAACCTGGGACTTCTTCTAGATTTCCCATATGGGTGGTAGGGACACATCTTCCAGTGCTTCTCCCAGGTCAGTTAACAAGGAATTGAGTTGGAAGTGGAGCATGAATCTGAGCCCATATAAGATGCCAGAGCTTCAGGTGACAGTACATGCCTGCTCCAGGGAGGATACTTTTGAGGTGTGCTTGTTACACTGTACTCTGTGGGATGAAAGTTCATTGGATGACACTGGAACGCATAATTCTGGAGACCAGAAGTCTGAAATGCATCTCCCAGGCTGGTATCTGGGATCAGAAGCACTGCTGCTCCAGAAGACAGTGTTTCCTGCCTCTTTCAACTTTCAGAGTCTTCCACATCCCCTGACTCATGGGCCCATTCCTCTGTCTCCTACACCAGACCCAGTGTTGCTCTAGCCTCCTCTGACTTTTCTGATTCACCCATCTTGGAAGGGTATTTGTGACCACATTGAGCCTATCAAGAAAACCCAGCATGACTCCCATCTCAAAAGCTGTGCCTGGGTAGAATCAAGATGGCAGAATAGGGTAAGGACATGTTTAAACGGACGGAGAAATATTTAATCAGGATAAAGCAGAAAGGACACATTCCAGGAAATAGGAGAGGACAGAACAGCAGCAGAGGGGTACCTGGAGACTGAAAGACACAGGAAAGCAGTGGACACATCGGTGTGGTGTTGCAGTGACGGATACTCCAGCAGCACTCAGCAAATGGATCTGAACTCCACCAGCAGCCAGAACTCCACCAGCAACCAGGTAGAAAGGGACTTTCACTGGGAGGTTGGGAGCTTGGGAGGTGAACCCAGGCAAAGAACTGTCTGTCCTGCTGGTCCATTTGACTTAACCAGGAGCAGAGACAAAGCTCCAGATCCCAGACAGACAGTGCGAGGACGGGGTGGATTTCACAGTCCAGTCAGCCCCCTAGAGCCAAATTGGGTGCCATTTTGCTTAAGGAGGAAAAGGCAAGGGAAAGGACTGAGCATATGCTGAGCTGGGAGTGAACCCATTTCTGACTCAGTGAACTGCACCATCGTGGCATTCTACAGGTCCCACCCAAGACAGGTCTGGATAGCCCTCAGACCTGACAGCCAGCAGATCAAGAACTATAGTAGTGGTACGTCCAGTGCCATTTTGTACATGTGTCAAAAACATTAGGACTGCAGGGACAACAGTGAACTGCACATGTGCTGAGCTCGTGAGAATTCTCTGAATTCTGTGGATTGCACTGGTCCCACAGGAAAATAAAACCAACTGTGGCATCGTATGAGTCAAAATAGGCCCATGTGGCACCCAGACCAAACGTCCAGCAGGTTCTGACAAGATCAGCGCCACCAACAACCTAGCTATATAGGATACCTGGTTTCTCTCTAATTCTGAGGACCAACCAGAAGTGGGAGAAAGGTTGTACAGACCACAGTGCAGCCTCAGCATGGAATCACAGGAGGTGGAGACTGGTGAGCAGGAGTTGGTGCTACAGAGACCATGGTGGAAATCTAACATAAGAACTAATACCTGGAACTCGCTGGAGCAGTGGCACCATTGGCTGCAAGCAAAGAGTTGTGTACCAACTGCAATAACTAAAACCAAACTGTAGACCTGTGGGTGACACAGCTTAGAAACTTGACCCAAGAAGAAGACTCTGCTAACCAGAAGTACAATGACCAAGAGCAAAAGAAGAGACAAAGGCACAATGAATATTACTGAAAACTCCCCTGCAAAGGAGCAAAACCCTATGCCAACCTCCACGTTAACTGAGGTAGACCGAGAAAATGGGGGACACAATTCAAAAAACTCATTTTAAAGCTCCTGATCAACAATGAGAAGCACATACAAGAGTTCAAAGGATTTAAGGAATATTTTACACAAGAAACAGCAGCAAGAAAGCAAACCAAGGCTGATATATCAGAAATTGAGAACACAGTCGAGCAAATTAAAAGTACAGTGAAGGGTCTCCTAAATAGAATGAAGCAAGCAGAAGAAAGAATCTTGATGGCTACCCAGAGCACTGGAGATGAGGGGCTGGTCTGCTCCAAACCTGACACATCTCCCAGGTTTCAGCCTGGAAAAGGATGGCCACAGAGCAGGTTACGTCACCAACCTGTTGGGATTCCAGTTGACCAATGGCACACCTGAATGGGCATTTGTTACATAGTTGGGGCACAGACAGCCCCTTTGCCTGCCCACGTGTCTATAGGACATAAAACTCCTCAACACGTATCTCAGCTGCCCTTTTCGCCTCCATCTTCCTTCCCCTCTGTGCGAAGGGGGCCCAGGAGCACATTTTCCAATAAGGCTTCCATTACAACTCTGAACAATTTGCTGACACTCTTCCACCAATGGGCAGGCGGGCGGTGGTCATCATCTAACAAATCTCAGAATTGGAGGATATTCCCTGTCACCAGGGGGAAACAAACAAAAACCTGGAAGCAGAGCTGGAATAGGGCAAAAGAAGTATTCAAGAATTGAAAGACACTATTAAGAGGCCTAATATAAGAGTTATGAGAGCCCCAGAAGGTGCAGAAGAAAAGCTTGGTTAAAAAAAATATTTAATGAAATAACAAGGGAAATTTTCCTAATCTAGAGAAAGAATTGGGAAACAAGATCCAGGAGGGGCACAGAACTCCCAACAGGCTTGATCAAAAGCAAGCTTCACCAAGACATATGATCATCAAGCTCTCTTCAATCGAACATAAGGAAAAGATGTGCATGTGAAAAAAATCAATTGACATATAAAGGAATGCCAATTAAACTCATAGGAGATCTCTCATAGGAAACTCGACAGGCAAGAAGAGAATGGAGTGACATATTCCAGATCCTAAAAGCAAAAAATTGTCGGCCTAGGACAACATACCCAGCAAAGCTTTCTTTCATTTTTGAAAATGAAATAAAATTCTTCCACAGTAAAGAAAAGTTAAAAGAATTTGCCTCTTCCCAACCTGTCCTACAAATGATACTTCAAGACGTTCTCTTGACAGAGAAGAGGAATAGCACCTACCAAAACCAAAGGCAAACGAGAAGAACATCCCAGTAAAATGACAACAGAAGACTAAACCAATGAACAACCCATTCCTAAAATGACAGGACCAAAGTACCACCCATACATATTAACCCTGAATGTAAATGCTTAAGCTCAATCAAACGTCGTAGATTAATAGACTGGATTAAAAAACAAACCCATCTGTTTGTTGTCTAGAAGAGACACATTTCACCAAAAAAACCAGCAGAAACTATATCACATGGGTTTTGATGTTTTCTGCTAGTTTCACCTCTTCAAAACAGTTTCTTCTGATTAACTTATTCAATGACTCATAGACCATACAGTAGCATCACTTTTTGCAAGAAGGTTCTTAAGTTTCATTGCTTCAGCTACACATTAGTCGTTTATTAGCATGTTATTCAACTTCATGGTGTTGTTAATTTCTTTTTTCTTCCTGATGTTGATTTTATTTTGGGGGCTTTTCATTTAAGGGATATATAGTAGTTGTGTAATGCAGACTGTCATGTCTAGTAACATGCTATTTAACTGCATGGCATTGTAAGTTTCTATTTTTCTTTCTATTATTGATTTTGTATCATGACTTTTCATTTGAGGGGATGTACAGTAGCTGTGAAACGGAGACTAACATATCCAGATGTGAGGATACAATGTAGCATGCATCTCTACTTCCAGACAAAGATGGACTTACAATGAAACTGTTTACCATATCTTGACAATAGGATGCTGGACACTCTGCCATTGTCCATGGCCGCAATGATGGACATATGACTAAGTATTAAGAACTATACTTTAATAATGATATAGGGGAACTAGGTGGAGGTGAGAGAATTGGGACTGGGATAAGGGAAATACCAGGAGCCTATGGAAGTATATCATAAAATGATGATGATGATGATGATAATAAAAATAAAATGTTCATGCAAAAAAAAAGCTGTGCCTGTTTCCACAAGTGTACACATCCTGGTTCTTGACTAGAACATGGATATCTGTGGAGAGGGGCCTCCTCAAAGATATTTTTGCTTTGCTCTCCTGGTTGTTGTTTTTAATTCACAGTTATTATTTTATTTGAAAGGCAGAGTTATGCAGGCTGAGACAGGCTGAAGCCAAGATCCTAGAACTCTATCCGAATCTCCCAAGCACTCAATTGTCTACTCTGTTTTCCCAGGCACATTAGCAGGGAGCTGGGTGGGAAGTGGAGCAGCCTGGACATGAACTGGTGCTTTATATGGGGTTCTTGTATTGCAGGCGGCTGCTTAAGCGGTTGTGCTATCCAACAGCTCGTATTTGATGCTTGTTTATTATTATTTAACTACTTATAATACTCTGGCATTCTAGGAATGACTGATGCTTTCCTACCCCCTTCACTCTCTTCCTTGACACAACAGTCATTTTCTGAGCATCTAGTCTGGGCTGGGTACTGTGCCAAGACTTGTGGCAATACAATCATGTGCCTAGACTACCCTAGGAGAAACAGTGACTTTCCATGAACAGACTTACTACTGTTCCACATGAAAATGAACTGGTCTAGGGGCTGTTACTATGGCACAGTGGGTTAAACCTCTACCTGTGGCTCTGGCACCCATATAGATGCTGGTTCAAGTTCCAGCTGCTCTACTTCCCATCCAACTTCCTGCTACTGGCCTGACAAAGCACTGATGGACAGCCCAAGTGAGAGCTGTAGAAGAAGCTCCTGGCTGTTGGCTTGGGACCAACCCAATCCCACCACTGAAGCCATTTGGGGAGTGAATGAGAAGATGGATGATCTCTGTCCCCACCTTCCTCTTCTGTAACTCATGCAACCCCCCACTGAGTTTCTGCCCCGGGGGTCATGAAACACCATCTCAGACTCAGTAAAAGGCCCCAGCAGATTCCATAAATTTGGAAGTCCTGATCCTCACAGAGGCCTGGTTTTCCCTAAGGAGCACTGGTGCTACCCAGGCAATTCCCCCTCACTGAACTCCAGTGTCCACTTCCTTACTGTCTCTGGCCTTGTGCCTCTCTCACCCCTCCCACAAGGAGAATGCATCTTTAAGCAAGATAATTGAGCCATTTCTGGGCAAATGTTCACACAAACATGTCTCAGGAAGTGGCTGACCAATCATTTGGCCCCCAAAGAGTTTTTATGTTTGCAAGACACGTAATGAAATATTTACAGGTGAAATGATGTCTGGCACTTACTTCAGAACAAACTATGTGAGAGGAAGTAGGTGGGGGTGTCGATGAAACAAGACTGGCCATGCATTAATAATTGTTCAAGCTGGGTGATGGGAGCACAGTGCCACAATGTACTATTCTGATTTGGGTTTTTTTGTTTTGTTATGTTTTATTTTGTTTTTTTCAGACTTAAATTTTTCCATAATAAAAAAGTTAAGGGGGGAAATTTTGCTTACCTTTCACTCTATATCATTGAGATGGACTACCGGTCGAATATATTTTACTGTCTGAACTGACTAGCTTTAAAAGCTAAAAATAAGGGCCTGTTGTGATCGCCTAGCAGTTAAAGTTCTTGCCTTGGGTGCACTGGGATCCCATATGGGTGCTGTTTTGTGTCCCAGTGGCCCCGCTTCCCATCCAGCTGTTGTGGCTTGGGAAAGTAGTCGGGGATGACCCAAGGCCTTGGGACCCTGCACCCGCATAGGAAACCCAGAAGAGGTTCGTGGCTCTTGGCCTTGGATCAGCCATTGTGGCTGCTTGGAGAGTGAATCAGCGGACAGAAGATCTTCCTCTCTGTCTCTCCTCTCTGTGTATCTGACTTTCCAATAAAAATAAATAAATCTTTTAAAAAAAAAAAAAAAAAGCTTAAAATAAGCAAGTACATGAATAGTTGACCAGTCATTTTCTGTGTTCAGGGCAGTCACACCGGGGAAGACAAGGTGCTACATATCTTATTTGCTGCCGGCCTCATGACAGTAACATGCCCAACCTGGAGGGAATGAGCACACGTCTAGAACATCATTCCAGTAACTGGACTTAGGGAACTAACAACGCCATATGGGGGAAGACAGTGGGACTCCAGGAAGAGCTGATTGTGTTTCTTTATGATGGAGGTGCTGAACCAGCCTGACCCGTCTCAGAATTGCCATGTTATCTGTCGGGCAGCATGTCATTGGCATTAGCTTGAGAACATAAAGCTATGGGTTGTCAGCCAGCATCAGTACAAATCTGAGAACAACTATGTGATGGACAGGATTTTCTCAACTAAGGTTTCAATGCAAAAATATTTTTAGATGCAAACATAGCTTTTTCATAATGCTAATTTTCTATGAACTTTTGGAAGACTCCTTTTAGGCTTGAATTTCAAAAATGTTTTTAAAAGTGGTCAAAAGCTTTGCATGCAACAAAACTAATAAATAGAGGCTTTTTTTGACTTTTTAAAATTTTGACACCTACATGAGAGGGAAAACATGAGATAGCTGTCTGTTTGCATTCGTGTTGTTTCACTCAACATGATGCCCTCCAGCTCCACTACAGCTAAGGCAACAGATTGTGAATGTACTTGAACATGTACAGGGTCTTACCAACTTCACGGGAGATGCATATTGTCAAAAAAAAAAAAAAAAGAAGAAGAAGAAGAAGAAGGTGCCTGGATTCCAATTTCTCTCACAACACAACAGCTTTTCTTTTCATTTTTCCATGAACTATTTGAAGTTCTCTCATATGATAGCTTTCAAAAATATTGACAACAAAATAAACTACTCCTTTAATTCTACTTCCATAGGCCTATTTGAAGTACTTTCATATTGTATAGTGGAGACTGCCAGCTCTACAGGCAAACATGATACTTGAAAAGTATCTAGACCTTGAAAAAGCTCCATAACTTTTTCCAACCTCAACTTCCTCATCTATAAAAGTGTACTAAGCACAGATGCTGGGAGGTTACAGGTAATGTGTGTAAAATTCCTTTCCTATCGTTTTATTGTATTTGTAATTGTGGGTTCCTCTACACTCCACCCCATATCTCCTGATACAGTGCTGAACACACAGTGAGAGCCAGCAAAATGTTTGGTGAATTGAATTAAACCTGGTACAACTTACATTGCGGGAGGAAGTTGGGAGTGTACTCAGGTCCATGGTGGGATGGGCCTGGTGGAAAGCAGGAACCAATCGGCAGTGGCCAGCTGAGAGGCTTGCAACTGCAGAGCCCCATATGCCATCAAAATGCAAATTTCCAAACTGCATGGCTGGTTGCCCTGGGTCGCCGGGAAACTCCAACCAGGCAGGCGAGGCCGTATCACCACCAGGAGGAAATGTTAAGATTATACCAGAATCCTTGCTTGCGAGGTCACATCTCATGAGAACTTCTCTACCTGTTTGTTCAAGCCAGAAAACAGGGATCACTCCTGGCACGTTGCCTTCTCTGGCACTCACAGCTAAGCATCCACCACGTTCCATCTATTCAGGTTCAGTTGTTGGTAGAAATGCTCTACCTCCCCTCAACTCTGCTATTAGCACCCCAGCTTCTCCCTTACCTGGTCCACAAGCAAAGGTGAGTCTCCTCAAATGCCTTCTGAGTCCTTTCCTTCGCAGCAGATGGAGGAATCATTTTTACCTCTTTCTTTGAATTTCAGAAGATTTTAAATATTCACAAACACACTGAGTATGCTGTGTTCGTACGTACCCACCGCTCAAGACCAGCTTTGTTCCATGTATGCCCCAGCTGATTTTGCCATTGTTCTTGGATCTTTTGAAGCAATTGCCAGAAATCACTGCGGGAGTTTTTGCTTGGGCAGGATGAGTATCTTTCATTGCATCTTCCGTGTGGCTTGCAAAGCCCCAGTCATGTGTCAGCTGGAGAGTCCTAGTTATCCTTTCGTCTCTAACCCAAGGCAGCACAGCCTCCTCTCTTTCCTCCGGCGTTTTAACTTGTTCCTTCCTGAGACTTCCAGGCTGATTTTGGTACCCAAAGGCCCATCTTGCATCCTCTTCCACTCTGCTGTCTCAGCTGTGTCTGCTCACGCTGTCTGCCATCATTGTCTCTACAGGCGCCAGTCTCCAACCAGGTGTCCCCTTGGCTGCTGTCTTGGTCCGCCCCCCTGCTGTTTCTGAAGTTGTTACCGCTCTCTCTGCGGTTAACCACATAAAGGTACTCCCTGCGTTTAAAACCAGCACCACTGGTCCAAGAACAGTGCCTCTCTGTCCCCAGGGAACAGCTCAGTATCTTCCTCATGGGAAGTGCTTGATATTTGTTGAATGAGGGCCCTAAGACAAAGCACACACAAGAGCCACAACAGTTTCCTGCTATAAAATTGCTTAACATGCTCAGCGTCATTGTCTAGACTGTTTTTTAACCATAAG